TAGTGAGGAGGAGCAAAGAACGAGACGCGAAAGGTCGGCAGGAGGGGGAGGGAGGCAGAGAGACAGGACGAGAGAAAGGACGGGGGGAGAGGAGGAGGAAAAGAGGAGCAAAGAAAGGTGAAGACGAGACGGGGAGCAAAAGGGAGAGAGCGCGGGAAGGAGACCGGGAGGGAAACAGCAAAAAGGGCAAGCCGCGCCCGAAAGCGCCGGCCGCGGACAGGAAAGTCAGAAAGGGCGGCGCACTACAAATAAATAGAATAGATAAAGTGTGGGGGCGGGGCGGAAGGAGGCGGACGAAGGGGGGCCGTGAAGAAAGCAAGGGCCACGCCGCAGGCAAGGAGGACGAAGGCGGGGGAACAGTGGCCCGGCAGGGGGGGAGGGCAAAGGAAAAAGGGAAGCGAAGGGGAGCCGGCGCAGGGGAGCCGAGGCAAAAGCAAAAGGACAAGAAGAAACCGCCCGGCAGAAGGGAGGAACGGAACGGGAGGAAGCAAAGGGAAAAAGAGAAGAGACGGGAGGAACAAGGGGAGGGAGTGCAGAGGACAGAGGGCAAATAGGGAAAGGGACGAGGAGGGAAAAGCAAGGGAAGACAGAGGTCAGAAGGGGGGCGCGGTAGGGAGAGGAGGGGGGGGAAGAAGGGGGGGAAACCACGCCGGCGACCGGGGGGGGAGCCGAGAGGAGGGCGGCGGTGGGGGCAGCGAGAGCACCAGCTGAGATAGGGAGAGGGAGCGCGGAGGGCCCGCGGCCCAGCAGCGGCCGGGCGGCCCAGTGGACAAACGGGGAGGCAACACCAGAGCCCCAAGGGCATGGAGAAGAGGAGAGAAAAGGGAGGGAGAAAAGGGCGGGAAACGCAGTAGAGAGCAGAAAGGGCAACAACCCAGGGAGGGGCCGCCAGAGGCACAGCGGCGGAGAGAAGGGCAGAAGTGGCGGGACAAGGAGGAGGGGAAAAGAGGGGATACAGACGCGGCGGCGGAAGGCAGAAAAGCGGGGACGGGGGGAGGGGGAATACGAAGGAGGGGCGCAAGCAGGCAGGACGGGAACGCCAGGCCGGGGGCGGCGGGCGGGAAAAGGCAGAGGAGAGCCGAGGACCGGAAAGCGCGCCCGAAAGCGGCGGGGAAGAAGAAAAAGCGAGCGACGACGGCGCAGAAAGAACCGGCGGTACGAGCCGGCAACAGGAGGCGAAGGGGCACCCGAGGGCGGAGGACGGGAAGCCAGACCTGCGAACCAGGCCAACGGAGCGAAGGCCCGGGAGCAAAGGAGGGGAAGCGCGACAAGGGGAACAGGAGAGGGAGGGAGAACACAAGGAGGGAAAGGGGGGCGGGCGGGCGCAGACAGACCAAGAGTGAGACGGGGACAAGGGGGAGAGGAAACAAGAGGCAAAAAAAAAAAAAGACCAAACGAGGAAGCGGAGAGAAGGCGAGGCGGAGGAGCAGAAGGGGAGGAGGGGAAAGGCGGGAAGAACAGGGGGGGGGAACCCCAGGGGGAGCCAGGGGGGCAGACGGAGGAGAAAGGAGGCAAGCAGGCAGGCAAAGGAGGAGGAAGGGAAGGAACAGGAGGGAGAGGAAGACGCGGCGGGGGGAGGCAAGGGCACCAGACAGAGACCAGGAAGGAGTCGGCGCAAGAGCAAGGGGGAGAACGGAGAAAGAGCAAAGGCGCAAACGGAAACGCACGGCAGAGCAAAACAGAGGGAAGAAGGGAGGAGGAGCACAGGGGAACAGGGAGAGAGGACGGAACCGAAGCCAGAGGCAGCAGTCAGAGGACCCCAGCCAGGCGCACCGAAGATGACGCGCGGCGGGCGGAGCGAGCACGGGGAAACGGGAAGGGGCAGGGGGCGGAGGCCGCAAGCAAGGCAAGAGCAAGCAAGGTCAGCCGAGACGCCACGGGAAGGCAGCACACAGCCGGGGGCGAGAGGGCGGGGGGACGGGACAGGAGAAGAGGGCGGGCACCCGACCCGGAGCACAAGGGGGCAGGACGCCGAGCGCACAGGGGGGAGAACCCAACGCAGAACGCCAACGGGGAGAAGCAACAGGGGGCACCGGAGGGGCGGGAAGCCACCAGGGAGGCCACCGGGAGGAGAGAGAGGGAAAGCCGCAACCCGCAGGCAGGACGCGGCAGAGGCGGGCCGGGAGCGCAGCGCCCAAGGAGCGCGGCAGGGGGGGGGACCGGGAGGACCGAGCAGAAAGAGAACGGCCCGCAGCGGCAGCAGGGACACACGGGACGGGCGAGACGGAGACAAAGCAAGACAACGAGGGGGACGCGCGAGACGGAGGAGAAGAGGAGGAGACCGGTAACAGAGGGACCGGCAGGGGGGCGGCAGGGAGAGCCGGAGGCCAAGACGCAAGCAGGCGACGACACACACAACGCAGGGCGCGGGCAACAGCAAGCGGGAAAGAAGGGGGGCCCGCAGCGCCCACGGGGCGCGCAACGGGAACAAGGGCAAGGCCGCAGGGGACCGCCGGGACCAACGCACCAACAAGCGCGGAGGGGACCGCCGAGAACAGCGCAACAACGGGAGGCCCGGGGACCGGCGAGACCAACGCAACAAGGGAGGGACCGGCGAGACCAACGCAACAAGGGAGGGACCGCCGAGACCAACGCACAAGGGAGGGGCGAACCAAGCGGGAACCGCCAGGCGACCGCCGAGGCAGGCAGCAAGCAGGGACGGCGGCGCGAAAGCAGGGGGCGGGGGGACGGCAAGGCCAAGGGCCCCACGCCGCGGCCCCAGGAAAGAGGGGGGAGAGACCCAAAGAAGGGGACCGGCCAGACGACAACCAGGCCCGGCCCAAGCGGCACCAGAACGAGGGGGACAGAGGGCGCCCGGGCGGCAAAGAGGAGGAGCACGGGCCGAGGGGCCGCGACCAGAGGCCCGCGCCAACACGAAAACAGAGAAGCCGAGAGAGCACCCACAGAGGAGGGGGCGAGGCGCGGGAGCCGACCCCACGCCGACACGGGGAGGAGGCGGCCCGGACGGCGACACGGGGAGGAGCGACGCGGCGAGAGCCGGGCGCGGCGGCACGCGGCGGGAGAAGCGACGCGGGAGGAGCGGGGGCCACACCGACACGGGGAGGGACGGAACGGCGAGGAACCGCGCCGCGGCGACACGCAGAGGACGCACGGCGAGGAACGAGCGCCACGCGACACAGGGAGGAGCGGCAGCCGGCCCCGCGCCGGCACCCGGACGAGGCGGCCCGGGGCGAGAGGCGGCAGAGAAGAAGCGAGGAGGGAGCAAGAAGGGGGGAGGCACGGGAGCAGGCGCCGGAACCGGAGGGACGGAGGGCAGCACCAGGCGCCCCAAGCAGCAGGGACGGACCGGGGCCGAGGGACGGGAGGGGGCCCGCCAGCAAGGAGGACACGGGGGCCACGGACCCACGGGGCCACAGGACGAGGGACAAGGCGGCGAGGGGAAGGAGCGGGGCAGGGGACGCCAGCAGGGGCCGAGCGGGCGGGGCCACCCGGGAGGGAGCGGCCCAAGACGGGGGCAACACCAGCCCGGAGGGGGCGAGCCAAAACGGGGGGAGGGGGCCAAGAGCGGCCGAACAGACGGCGCCGGGAGCAGACAGCGGAAGAAACCCGGCGCGCACCGCGGGGGAGGGAAGCAAGAGAGAGGCGAGAGCCGCAAAGACGGCCGGAGCAAAGGGAAAAAGGAAGGCAAGAAGGGCGACGACGGCGACGCCAAGGCGGCGAGCCCGAGAGGGAGCCAGGCCGGAAGAGCAGGGGAGGGCCACAAGCAGCGGAACGCCCACCACCCCCGCGCGGACGAAGAGCGGAGGAGGACGGCGAGCCGCGAGGCCGAAGCAGAGGACGGCGACAGGAAGAAGAAGGACGAAGAGGAGGGGAGGAAAAGGGGGAAGCCGGGGAAAGCGGGGCCGCCCAGCCAGGCACCACGCGCGAACCACCCGACCGCAGGGAAAGGCCGAGACCACGAACGACCGCGCCGGGGCCCCGGGCGGAAGGGAACGCCGCGGACCCAGCCCGGCAGGGGCAGGCGAAAGCAAGCGGAGGAGAGGGGAAGGGGAGAAGGCCCCGAGGAGGGCAGGAAGGGCGCCCCAAAGGCAGACCAAACAAAGGACGGCAGGGGCAGAGGCAAGCCGGACACGAGACGGAGGAGGGGCACGGGGGGAAGAGACAAAGAGAAGAACGCAGCCAGCAGGGCGACGGCCGACAGGGCGGCAAGCGAGCCAAGCAGCAGCAACAGCCGCAACACAAGCCACCAAAAAAGGGCGGGAGGAAGGAGGAGGGCACCGAGCCGGCCACCGCGAACGCCAAAAAAAGAGAACCACGACCAAAGAGCGGAGCAGAGGAGAGCGAGAAAGAAACCGAGGGGGCGCCCAGACGACAAAAGAAGCACACCAGACACGGGAGCGAGGGGGGACCGGCAGGGGGCGACACGCCCGCGGAAAGAAAGAAGGGGAGCCGGCAGCGAGACGGGGGAGAAGGGGGAGGCGGCCCAGAGAAAAGAAACAGAGACAGGAGGCCAGCACCGGCGCGGAGGAGGACCGCCCAGAGGGCCCGGGACCCCAGCGGGACGCCCGGGGGAGGGAGAGGGACGGCAACGAGGGCAGGAGCCGCCGCAGCGGAGGCGACACGGGAAGCGCAGGCAAGGGGAGGGAGGACGAGGCCGGCACCAAGGGAGGGAGACCGAGGAACCAGCGCAAAGAAGGACGGACCCCACGCGCGGGAGGGACGGGGGAGGCAGGGGAGACGGAGGGGGCAGGGGCGGACCAGGGGAGAGAGGCACGAGCCCGAACAGGCGCAAACGGGACGGGGAAGGCAGCGGGGGAAGACGCACGGGGGCGCACAACAGCAGAGGGGGGAGGACCGGCACGGGAGGACCGCAAGGCCAGAGGGGCGGGGGAACACGGGGGGAGGAAGGGCCCGACGCCGAGGGGAGAGGAGGCGGCAGAGGAGACCAGCGAGCAGCCCGCAGGGGGACGGGAAAGCAGGCAAAAAGAGGGGCGGAAAGGACCGACAAGGCCACACCAGGGACGGGAAGGAGGAGCGGGCGGGGAGGGAGCCGAGGAACAGGGAGGAAGGAGGTGCCGGAAGAGGCTGAGGAGAGCGGGGGCGAACGGGGGGGTGAAAATGTGTCGCGCGTGCCGCGCGGGGCAGGCGGAAAGTCGTGGGGAAAAATGCAGCGTCGGTCGGGGGCGCGCCCCAGGGGGGGCTAAAAAAAAAAAAAAAAAAAAAAAAAAAAAAAAAAGGGCGGAGGGGCGCCCAGCAGCAATGTCCGAGGCACACGCCGTCGGCCGCCGGGGCGAGGCCCGGCCGCAGCAAGGGGCCGAGGCGGTGCGGTGGGGCGCCCACGGCGGGGTGGCACAAAAAAAAAAAAAGGGCGGCAGGGCGCGCGCAAGCCATAGGCCGAGTGCCACCGCCGCAGCCAACGGGGCCGACGGCGGCCTCTGGCCAAGTGGCCGTAGCGGCCCGGTGGCCAGATATGATGTGGCCGATGGCCGGCGCGGCCACAGCGCCGGAGGCCGCGGTCGTCGCGCCCACGGCTGAGGCGCGCCGCGGCAACCCAGGCGAAGGCGAGACGCCGCATCCCGGTAAAAAAAAAAAAAAAAAATCCGTAGGCGGACTGGCACGCCCGCCTGGCCGGCGGAGGCAGCCCGAGCAAGCCGATCCAATGGCCACGCGGGGCGGCCGAGGCGACGCCGCAGGCCACATCGGGCGAGGCCACGCCGCGGCCACGAGGCGGGCGAGGCGACGCCGCGGCCACGAGCGGGCGACGCACGCCGCGGCCACGGCGGCGGGCCGCAAGGCGACGCCGCGGCCACGGGGACGGCGAAGGCGCCGCCGCGGCCACGAGCGGCGATGCGCACGCCGCGGCCACGCGAGCGGTCGCAGGCAACGCCGCGGCCACTGAGCGGGCGAGGCGACGCGCGGCACGTACGGCGCGGCGCCGCCTCTTGCCCGAGCGGTCGCGTCGCCGCCTCAGGCC